TAGCCTGACATCTTTTCAACATAAACCCAGACAGCATAGAATTCAATAGCCTGACATCACTATATCAACATAAACCCAGACAGCATAGAATTCAATAGCATGACATCACTATATCAACATAAACCCAGACAGCATAGAATTTAATAGCATGACATCTTTTCAACATAAACCCAGACAGCATAGAATTCAATAGCCTGACATCACTATATCAACATAAACCCAGACAGCATAGAATTCAATAGCATGACATCTTTTCAACATAAACTCAGACAGCATAGAATTCAATAGCCTGACATCACTATATCAACATAAACCCAGACAGCATAGAATTCAATAGCATGACATCTTTTCAACATAAACCCAGACAGCATAGAGATCAATAGCATGACATCTTATCAACATAAACCCAGACAGCATAGAATTCAATAGCCTGACATCACTATATCAACATAAACCCAGACAGCATAGAGTTCAATAGCCTGACATCACTATATCAACATAAACCCAGACAGCATAGAGTTCAATAGCATGACATCTTTTCAACATAAACCCAGACAGCATAGAGTTCAATAGCATGACATCTTTTCAACATAAACCCAGACAGCATAGAGTTCAATAGCATGACATCTTTTCAACATAAACCCAGACAGCATAGAGTTCAATAGCATGACATCTTATCAACATAAACACAGACATCATATAGTCAGTATAGTCAAAGCAACATAAAAATAAAAGTCATATCAGAAGATTCAGTATAAAACTCGGTTAATAAAGAAGAATGATAACAAGTTATACGAGTTATTGTTGGAAGCAATAAGAAGATCAAAATCAGCGTTATAAAAGTTTTCAACAAATGTAATGAACACATTTTCTAAAGAGTAAAATAATGGAAAATATAAACCAAAATTTTAATGTAATCTTGTTTTATATATTTTCTATTTTAAAAACTTACTCTATAATAAGCCAACTGCAGAGCCATTTGGATGTAAGCATCAGGGCTGACTTTACACTTCTTTATAACACCTTTCCCGTATGCATCATGCATGTACAGTCGAAGATCAACATCCTCAAGAAGAGTACGAGCAGAGATTGCACAGCTTTCAATAATGTCAACACACTGATGGTAAGAAAATATTATGATTAATTATTGTTCAGGTTAACGTACATCTAATGCTGTATAAGTAATGTCAAAAAGAAACATTTTTAATAGCTTATGGACTTCTAAATTATCAGGTTAACGTACATCTAATGCTGTATAAGTAATGTCAAAAAGAAACATTTTTAATAGCTTATGGACTTCTAAATTAAGCAAGATTTTTTTTAAGAGACAAATATAAAAACATTTCTGTTACAAATTTTCAAAATATCAATTCAAGGTAAAGCACACCTTACCACAATAATCATGTATAAGCTAAAAGGTTTGAATTTTCGGTCATTGTAGTGGCACAAAAACAACGAAAAAGTTTGCTTTTCTTTCCTACTCGTGTTTGGTGAAGACTGAAGGTTCTAACTATAAATAAAACAAGACAGTTCTAAAGTTTTACTTACGTGGGAAGGAATATCCCATTTAAGTCTAGCAGGGTTGGGGAGGTCATGTGTGAGTTCCCCTACAGTGTTTCCTTCCTTAGTGTAACTACAAAACAATAAAAAATTGAACTTTTATTACTGCAAGAAAGACAAATGATACTTTTTTCTAAAAGTTATAAAACAAAAATTACACTTTAAAGCAACAGTAAAATATACATTAATGCATTAAGTGTTTTCAGCTACATAATTTAATCAAATCAATTATTAGTTTGCACTAAATTATCGTTTAAAAACACCTTTGACTACACTCTGTTTAAATCATTGTAATTACGTTATACCGTATTAAAAATAAACATGAAATATAATGTATTAAAAAATGTTTTTAGTGAAGAAAAATTATAGATATACACAAAAAATAACAAAAATTTGTATAATAGAGTTTTTAAAAACAAACTGGTAGGGTAGCAATAAAGAAGAATTAATTACTATCATAAAACTAGCGGGTGATTAGGTTTCACCAAATTATCATCCACAACCGCCACTTTTGATAATATTTTTGGTATAACAACATTATGAACTCACTAACTTTACTAATCCAGAAAAGTTTTTTAATACTTTTAATTAGCAATAATACAACTATTCAATTCATAAATACAAAAACAGATATTGGCTGTCTGGTTCTCTTTTTCTAAAATTGCTATAAACTTTGGAGAATACATTTTACTTTTACACTAAAAGTTCTAATGTTATCAGCCAATCAACACAGTATGTTATATTCATTTATAAGATATGCATGTTCAAGCCATTTATTAAAAACACTTACTGTTTTCACAGCAAACTTTTTAGCAACATAACTGCATGAACTTAGTCCTTTTACTTGAAATAATTTAACCACCGAGCCTCTTTCATTTTCTCTATATTATTCTTCACTGCCTTTTTAATAATTGTAATAAAAGTTTAACTGCTTACAAAACTAATTTTGTTTCTTATAAAAACACATTATCACATTAACATTATTCATTAATTACACTATTTTCTTATTACTGCTAATGAAATAAAATAGTTTCTCCTTACCCAAGGCTGACAAAGTCTTTAGCGAGACAAAATTCCCATAGGTGAGCCAGGATTGGAGCATCAGCCCTATAGAAAATGTAAAAACCTACACATTTTAACACCTTTTTATTTTGTCACATTTCTCCCTCTTTATGCTCACTTTTTCTATGTGTACATGAATATTTTGAATTTAAATAACACTTACATGGCTGAACAATTACTAAACAAAAACTTCATATTTTTATGCATAATTAAATCCATCACTCAAACACTAACTTTGAAACTTTCATAAATTTTACAGTAATTTAGTTTTTGTTTTCTAGAAAGGCATTATTAAACGCACGATTTTATCACAAAAATCGTTATTTTACTCTGATGCCCGTGGCGAAAGTCTAGTACGTTCACGTTTCCAGAACTAAATTAAATAAAAGAAATTAATAAATACTTACCATGAATGTTCTCCATTAAAACCAACCTAAAAAGAAGAGAAAAAAAGCTTGTCAGGGCAAACCATTAAAATTTTAAATTACACATTAAAAATAAAAATTACAGAAAACAATAAGTTTTTTTTTCTTAAACAATAGCTATTAGAAGACAATGAAAATGGCCATTACATCTTCAAACATATATTTCAAAATAAATAATTTAATACTTAAAAAACATAACTCAACTTATATATTTGACAATTTCTGTAAAATAACAAAAGACTCGTATCATATGCAAATGACCTATAAAAATGGATAATTAATAAATTCCATACAAAATTATAACTAACAATAAACATAATGGGACACAACCTCAGAAACCTAACTAATTGTTTGCTTGTTTGTTTTTAATTATGCACAAAGCTACACAAGGGTCATCTGTGCTCTGCCCACCACGGGTATCGAAACCCGGATTCTAGCGTTGTAAGTCCACAGACATACCGCTGTGCCACTGGGGGGCACCTAACTAATATGCTGGCATTAACTTTGATACAGTAATCTGCATTTTAAATAATTGACTATGGAAAAATAATAATAATATATATCCCATAAAATGTCTTCTTTAAAATTGTACATTAAAAGTGAAATAGGTAAATTAAATAAAGAAATGTTTACATTATCATTTAAGTTATGAAAATATATTACTTTTAATCCGTTCTAAGACAACGATGATTAAACGCAGTTTACACTACAGATCCAGAAAAAAATCAAATAAAAATTGCACATAAATTAATATATAACCTCAATTTTATTTGCCTATTTTACTATTTCTCACTTACTAAATATCTCACTCACCCTTCCATTTCTTGCTACAACCAGATTAAAAGACTTGTCATACCATCTGTCGTATCCCTTTCCATGCAGCAACAACTGCCCAAAACGATCAAGTTTACTAGGATCTTTCTGAAAATAATAAACACCGTACATACATCAGCAAAAATATATGATAAACACAGTACATGTATCAGCAAAAAAATATGATCAACACCGTACATACATCAGCAAAATATATATATATATATATGATAAACACCATACATACATCAGCAAAAAATATATATATATGATAAACACTGTACATACATCAGCAAAAAATATGATAAACACCATATATACTTCAGCAAAAAAATATGTTAACTTTATTTCTTAGTTAAAACAAGTTTTTGGGAGAAAAAATATCGTGATTTTCCAATTAGCATAATTTTAGTAGATTTTACAAAAACATTATTTTTTAACTGTCTGAAACAAAAAATTTCCAAAGTATCCAAGTATTAATGATATAATTATTATACTTGGTACAAATATTTTATTATTGAACCTTAATATATATATATGTGAGCTTCTAATAATTTGTATGTTGGACATTATAATTTGAATTATGAGTATAATTTTAACGGGAATAACCTTAACTGTGTTATGAAAGAAAAAGATATCGGTGTGATAGCAGAACTGTCTCTTAAGATGTCCAAGCAGTGTGCTGTTGCTAGTGGTAGAGCAAATAAGATTTTAGAGTGTATCTACAGAAATATTGAATACAAGTCTAAAGAGGTTATAATTTCATTGTATAGGTCAGTGGTTCCCAAACTCTTTTAGCCTGAGGCTCCCTTGATGTGAATAAAAAAGTTTGAGCCCCCCCTACCTATAACTTTAGCATGGTAATTGAAAAGCAGTCTCGTAGTAAAAACAATATCATCTCCTTTTGACATACTTTATCACTTAATTAATTCAACATAATTTTTTATCAGCTTATTGTTTATTTAGAATTTAAACTGATTCAGCATTTTTGTTTTTGGCCTATGTTTTGGCAGCCCCCCAAAAAAAAAGTTTCATTGTTTCCACTTTGGTATAGGTCATTGGGTCATTTGGTATAGGTATGTTTAGTCTTATAAATTAAAAAGATCTTAAAATTAAATATTTCCAAAGAACTTTGCACAATTGAACCTTATTTGGAAATATATTCAAATTCTGTATTTAAAAGATCAATAAAATTAAAGACAAAAAAGATCAAAAGAACTAAATTAAATTTTCTCATCAAAATAAATGTTATTCTTATATATTATAGTCTTAATACTTACAATAGTCTTAATATAGTCTTAATACTTACAGGGTCAAATTCAAATTATACCTAATACTTACAGGGTCAAATTCAAATTATACTTAATACTTACAGGGTCAAATTCAAATTATACTTAATACTTACAGGGTCAAATTCAAAATCTGTATCTTCTAGTACCAAACAAAAAGCAGCCTGAAAAGGAGAAAAAACAAAAGTTATAAAGATAAACGAAATAATTGCTAAGCCTAAAAATAAGACATAATAATGAAAGAGCTTAAGAAGTGGATCATGTGTACACACATCAAGTTTCACTAAAATATAATTAGGAATATAATATATTTCTCAGAAACACAAACTTTCTTAGAAATTTTAGGATCTGATGGCATATCATTGTTACATTGAAATTTTTTTTTGTTGAATTTTGTATAAAGCTTCTCGAGGACTATCTATGCTAGCCATCCTTAATTTCGTAATGATGACTAGAGGGAAGGCACTTGGTCAACATCACCCACTGCCAAACTCTTAGGCTAGTCTTTACCAATGAACAGTGGGATTAACCATCACATTCTGATACCCCCACAGTTGAAAGGATGAGCATGTTGAGATGGAAATCAAACCCACAATCCATGATGGAAATCAAATCCACAACCCAAGATAGAAATCAAACTTGCAACCCATAGATTGCTAGTTAAATGTCCTTGCCACCAGACCATGCCAAGACCTTTGAAGTTTGTTACATCAGGTCAAATGTGTAAATGGTTGATGATATAAAATACATAAATATGTACAGTATAACACACTTTTCAGTTGCTATGTTTTATACTAGTTCGTCACTTAGAACAGTTCATCATTCCACATAACCTCTCTTATTTTCCAAGTCAAAAAAAGTAATATTTCATGCAATAAACCATGAAGCCTTAGGTGAGGTAATAGAAATAATTAATCATGAAGCCTTAGGTGAGGTAATAGAAATAATTAATCATGAAGCCTTAGGTGAGGTAATAGAAATAATTAATCATGAACGCTTAGGTGAGGTAATAGAAATAAATTAATCATGAAGGATTAGGTGAGGTAATAGAAATAATTAATCATGAAGGATTAGGTGAGGTAATAGAAATAATAAACCATGAAGGCTTAGGTGAGGTAATAGAAATAATAAACCATGAAGGCTTAGGTGAGGTAATAGAAATAATTAATCATGAAGGATTAGGTGAGGTAATAGAAATAATTAATCATGAAGGATTAGGTGAGGTAATAGAAATAATTAATCATGAAGGGCCTTCATGATTAATTATTTCTATTACCTCACCTAATCCTTCATGATTAATTTATTTCTATTACCTCACCTAATCCTTCATGATTAATTATTTCTATTACCTCACCTAAGCCTTCATGGTTTATTATTTCTATTACCTCACCTAATCCTTCATGATTAATTATTTCTATTACCTCACCTAAGCCTTCATGATTAATTATTTCTATTACCTAGCCTAAGCCTTCATGATTAATTATTTCTATTACCTCACCTAATTTAGGTGAGGTAATAGAAATAATTAATCATGAAGGCTTAGGTGAGGTAATAGAAATAATTAATCATGAAACCCATTTTACCTTAAAAAAATTATTCTATCCAGCAATTAAGTAGTTGTTTTTTGTTTTCTTAATAAAGCTAAAACAACATATTGATATGTAAATTTTCAAATGTATTTCTTTAGAGTTTCACAATATCATCAAAACGATTTCAATACTTCAAATAGATTATTTTTAGTTTACAATTCTTTAAAAGATATTTAGCTTGGTGTTACAAGGTATCAGCTGTTAATCTAATTCAAATATTACCTTTTCAATGATATGAAGAGAAGTCTTGTTCATTCCTTTGGAAAAATATTCATCTCTTGTGGTGGCCCAAGTTATTCTACAGCAAAAAAAAACAACAATTAATTGTAGCTAAGAAAGAACAGATAAAAAAAAAGAAATACACCAGAGCATGAGTAAGACGTTAAACAATCAAACCTAAAACTACCAATTTGAGAAGCTACCATAGATGACTGACTACTTACTTTACAATTGTGGATTAATAGTAACTTCTAAACAGAGCAAGCAACCTTTATGTTTCTTGTGGGCATCAGGCTCCAGCCCCTAAAGCCTCTGCATTAATCTGGCCCCGTTTATACCAATCTTAAAAATAAGGCTTGGCATGGTCTGGTGGTTAGGGTACTCAACTCACAATCAGCGGATCTCAAGTTTGAATCCCGTTATCTAACATGCTCACCCCTTTTAGCCATGGGGGCATTATAATGTTATACTCACTCCCACTTTTAGTTTGTAAAGAGCAGCCAAAGAGCTGGCTGTAGGTGGTGTTGAATAACTGTATTCCTTCTATCACTTCTAAATTAGGAATGGCTAGAGCAGGTAACCCTCAAGTAGCTTTGGACAAAATTTAAAAATACAAACAAAACAAATTACCTACATACATTATAATTCAAAAATCACAATAACTATTCTTACTTATAATGATTAGAATACGTTGTTTCATCGGTTGGATAGCCTTGCTGTTAGTTATATTTTCAGCCATTTAGTTACTTTTTAGGGTTCTTTTTAGAACTTTGAGTGTGAGAATTGGCAAAATTTAGAAGTGTGGGTGTTCATGATAAATTTAAAAAACGTAGCATTTAATCTCTCATGAGGAATTACACGAAAGTTAATAAGCACATACAGGTACTTATATATATGATAAACCAATTGAGTTTTGCTGAAATAGCCCCTCCCTTCAACCACATATTTATATACACAATAAACCAATCAGGTTTTGCTGAAATAGTCCCTCCCTTCAGCCAGATAATTATATATAAAATAAACCAATCAGGTTTTGCTGAAATAGCTCCTCCCTTCAGCCACATATTTATACTTTGTTTGTTTTGTTAACACAAAACTACACAATGGTTTATTCTGTGCCCTGCCCACCACAGATATTAAACCTAATGTTTAACATTATAATATGCCTCAGACTTACCACTGAGCCACCAGGGGACCCATTTAGATTTACATGAATTTAGAATTACATTTAATTACATGAAAAAATAAAATAATAAAAAATGCACACATCAATGTTAACAATTAATAAGTCAAATTTATAAGACTTAAAGCTAAAAATCATAACTTGTGAAAAAAAACAACACGAAATCATATGATTAAAAGTTTCGATACCCTTGGTGGGCAGAGCACAAATAGCCCTTTGTGTAGCTTTGTGCTTAATAACAAACAACAATGATCCCCCACAAAAAATTAATTCTAAGTTTTATTGTATATATATTTTTTATTATAAATATCCCCCCCCCACAAAAACTTTAATCTACAATTTGATTAGAAATGATTAATTATATGAAGAGCCATTTGGGGGGGAGGGGGCTTCAGAAAAGGTACATAATGAATCAAACAATTCTAACCATGGAATTATGTGTTAACTTGTACCCATTCCCACATATTCTATGTTTACTTTTGTATGTTTTTATACATTTAAACTTATACGTTATTATTAAGTGTTTACCTATCAGTTGCAGTCAGTGCTCCAAGTTTCTCCTCACCAGGCTGCAGTGGGCTGTTGTCTTGCATTATTTTTTCTAGTTGCCTGTATCAAAAAAAAAAATGTTTTCGATAACTGCAGAATTCCTTGTGCTTGTTTTTTGTACTTTCATTAACCCTGGACTGCATTCAAACAACAAGGTGTTTAATAAACAGATATTCCTACACATTTTTTTATCTTACCTTCAATCTCCACTGCTAAGAATTAACATAATAAAAACTATCAAAAAAGTCAAATTCAGTACAAGGTCAGATCATAAGTTAATGAACTAATGTGTGTAAATGTGTACACTAGTTCAAAACTGTAATTAATCTTAAAATTTTCTTGACTTTTTTTTTTAATTTGTAACATTACATTAATTCCAAATCACTTAAAACACTTAAAGTCCCAATAACTTCTGTTAATTCCATGCAAAAATGAAATACACATTCAACAACCAGAAACTCCCACAAATGTTTTAAAAGTTGCATTTATTTTTTACAGCTTTTCTAGGATTTGGGTCATTCTTAAATTACCGTAATTCATATAAATAAAACTAAACCTATGCACACAAGTGGTATTTCTTACAACTTCGAGTGTATCAAAACAAAAGTATGAACAACACAAACATGTCACAACTGAATAACGACTATGTAAAATCAGCAGATAAATATTTGATACAACAAATTCAGAAATTATCCTATTTTTACACAGACTTTACACAAATTAAACTTCAGTGTGTCAAGTAATTAATTTCTTGTTTCTTTTTTTTACACTGTGTAAAATAAAAAAAAAGATGTATGTAACAAAAGTAGAGTATTGGATACTAGCTACCTCTGTAACTCAACTGGACGAAGAAGTCTGGTTTTGTGATACACCGATAACTTGAAATAACGTCCTTTATGATAAACACAGATATGTTCGCTATCGTTCAGATGAACTACTCTGTCTACATAAAGATAAAAAAAGAAAAACTGTTAGACACAACTATTGTAAATAAGCATGGCTTTATTTTTTTACTGTAACTTTTTACTCAACAAAGCTACATAATAACTATAAACCACAGCATTCATACCAGAGCATAAAAAAATTCTTATAAATTTTATTAAGCTAGAAAAATTAATTGAAAAGTTACTTCTTTTCATTTTTAATGCATGGACTGATATTCTTGTGAGTGTATTCTGTTCTTTGTATGATTAAAACCTGTATGTGTGTGTGTGTATTCTGTTCTTTGTATGATTAAAACCTGTATGTGTGTATTCTGTTCTTTACATGATTAAAACCTGTATGTGTGTGTGTATTCTGTTCTTTGTATGATTAAAACCTGTATGTATGTGTGTATTCTGTTCTTTACATGATTAAAACCTGTATGTGTGTGTGTATTCTGTTCTTTGTATGATTAAAACCTGTATGTGTGTGTGTATTCTGTTCTTTGTATGATTAAAAC